CAAATGATCGGTCGCGCTGCGGCCGCCGTTTCTAGATAATGAATTACCAAGCCATTGCTAGCTTGCAAAATCTAACCGGCGTCGTATCCGTTGTAATAAGGTTAGCCGTTCCCTCTTACTCCCTGGAGCCGCTTAGCCGCTCGCGACCACTTCGTGACTCGGGGTGCCTTCGGGAGCATCCATGGGCGAATTATCTTCTGAAATGGCTAATATAAATTATCTTTAATGGGTTTTATTGCTCTCAAATGTTTTACTAGACCCAGTTTATTTGGAAAGTTAAGGATTGTTAGAATCGTATATTTGTTACAATACAATAATCGTTGAAAATTATCAAATGAATCTGTACCTAATCGACGAAGTGTGAACTCTATAAAACCTTTTTTATCGAGATTTTTACGACTCTCTTTACACTATCCCAGCTATATACAGCGAATGAGATGAAGCGAGACCGCGGGTGGTGTAAAAAAAAATAACTCTATTTTGCCCTACCTAATAGTCAATATTGAAGATGAAATGAATACGTAGTGAATCTTGCGAAAAAAGTAAACAACAATGCCAATGGCATAGATGAAGTGAGTATTATGTTTTGAGAAGCGTGGATGTTAGTAGTATAAGACTTTTTATAGAACTATTTTTATCCTAACTGTACTACGATTACATCCAATTTTTTATATCTAAAGAATGGCAAAAAGTTCATAGTAGACTTAATAGAAAATGATAACCGTTATCCGTATAAAACGTAAGATGTCAGAGATTGAACTAATTTTATCTTTCTGACCTAATTAATAACGTACCTAGTATCTACATACTGTTGCTACATGAAAATTATATGTAAGACTAGCTAATTTCCGCGGCTTTGTTAACCCTTTCCACTCCAATGTCGAGTGTCACTCGACATTGATTTTGTGCCATACCAAAAGGGATTATAAAGATTAGAATTAAGAATTATAATATAGTATCCTGTAATTACTCATAAAATAAAGTTTGTCATATAAGAAAAAATCAACTTTATTTACAAAATACGAAAAAACCCCTAAAAGTTAAGTATACTCACACTTTATGAACGATTAATCACATATTCTTCATTTTTCATACCTAGCAAATTACCTCTTAATTAGCCTCATACGGAATAGATTGATAGGGAACTAGGATTACCTTATTATCATTACATTTCTAAAGTAGAACAAAATATATTTAATGTTTTGTTCGCACTTATATGTCTTACCTACATACCTGTCACGCCCTAACCACTGTTGACATTGATTATATCTAATAAATTATATTGGTACTATGGATACTATACTTTGATAATGAATACCTAAGTCTATACTTAGGTATTTATTATCAAAGTATAATAGTACAATATTTGAATAATTAACTTAAATACCTATGTATTTAAGTTAATTATTCAAATATTGTATTGTAATAAAAAATGATATTTATCTACAGTTAATTTATAAATCTACACACGTCGTTTTTTATTTATGTAATTATGAACTGATCTGATTAGGAACTGATTTTTATGTATGTAATTATGAATTGTTGGTAAACTAATAAATGAAAAATATATAAATAAATCACACTCTATCTCTAATATATAAAATTCTCGAGTCGAGGTGTTTATTACCAAACTCCTCCGAAACGGCTTAACCGATTTTTATGAAATTTTGTATGCATATTGGGTAGAACTGAGAATCGGCCAACATCTATTTTTCATACCCTTCAATGATAAGGGCGACCCACCCCTAAATATATATTTTTAATTTTTTGTCAATTTTTTTTTATTTTTATTTTATTATGATCTTCTTTCTTATTAAACTTTATTTTATTACAACTACAAATTTTTACCCTTTTACGATTAACCCCTGTTTTTAATCGCGATTTTTATATTTTGCGATAGGGTTGTAAGATGACAATCGAATATAATAATTGTAGTACGATAAATTTTCATGTATGGTATATAATTACAATTTGCTTTAATTATATCTTTTTTTTTTTCAAATTAATCGTCAACTCTCACCGGTTGATAACTGATCAACTACCAATCGATCAGTTACAGACCAGAGGGAGACTTTGTACAAAAGTCGTTTGCTTGGGTACCTCTGTCCCATTCGTGTTTCAACCGTAAAGCAGTTGTGTTTGCATGGCTGTGTTTCGGTTTAAAGGGTGGGATATGTCGTGAATTTATAGGGTACAGAGGAATAACACCTGAGTCCTCAAGAATGGCAACGTTAAGGGAGTTTCATGGGCGAAATAGTATACTCTGTTATGTCCATGGTACTGCTCATTTCTATGGCGACGGTTACCACTTTCCATCAGGTGGGCCGTCAGCTTGTTTGTCATTCTAAGTTGTATAAAAAAAAACATAACGGAGTAAGCATGAGAACCATTTTTTTTATTTTATTTGTGTCTCGATTGTAGCAGTGACTGTTATACGTCATCATATCATTTTAACTTTTCAGTGCAACTCTCATGTTAATTTTTATTCTCATAGTTAATTTATTATTATTTTTAAGTTGCTATTAAGTCATTGGTACTTTGGACAAGGTATGCATTGTCATGTATTTATATTTAAAAATGAGTCCCTCGGGATGTGTTGATCATCAGGAACAGTACAACTAACGGAAATTGAAACACAACCTGAACCATTTCACGGTTTACTTATCGGTACGGATCCAGAATCTACCCTATTCCTAAAGTCAATTCGCACATTCAATTCATGTTTCCAAATAACATGTTTCGGTGTACTATAAATCATTCAAAGTATTGCTGTAAACGGTCAAAAATTTAATTCCACGTTCAAAATCAAAGACTATGTTTATCACAAAGTGAGATCATTTCTGCTAATGCCAAACGAATTTCATAATTTTTTACAAATTTACTTTATGGGTGGCGAGAACTCTGAACGCGCACTTGCCAATCGCGTGGCTTAAATAAGGTATACTTTAATTGTTTGCAACACTTTACAAATTCCTCTTTCAATTGTAATTATATCCCCACACATTTATTGTGTTAGTTTTTTTTTTATTGAACTAAAAAATATATTCTACAAATAATGTATATGGTAAAACAACGTTTGACGAGTCCGCTAGTTATTATATAATATTAGGCTATTAGAAAAAAGGTTTTTGAGTAGTGACCCGGAATGGACAAATGCAGTGTAGGACGACTTTCTCACTAGATATTCCTTATAGTAGTCCTTATAGCAGATGTTCCTTATAGCAGCAGTCTATGGGGGTGGCCTATGTTCAGTAGTAAACAGATAATGGTCGAGATAATGATGATGAATAGGCTATTACTATTCCTCATTATGGTATGATATGTATATATACACAAGGCTTAAAAACATTACAGCTCTTTCATCTTAGTACCCAACTAAGATATAGTTGGGTACTAAGATGAAAGAGTTATGGAAATCCCGTTAAGCGTTTATATCACGCTGTGTCTAGTTGAACCTCACTAAATCCACCAATTTTGGTATTAATGCTTTTGAATGACAATTAAACTAAACGTTCAAAGGTAAACTTTCGAGGACGTGGGAGTTTTGAAAATGTAAGTGCTGATCCGGGTTAATTGTTCATAGAAATCACCATGACCATTCTTCTATTGAAATTTAAAGCTTTACGCTTATGATGTAGAAAGTATATTAACCTCACATAATATAACATAACAGAAAGTGAAACGAAAATAGCAACTCTCTATATCACATCACACTTCAGATCTTCCTTATTTAAAAATTTTAAAAAGAAAATTTGTGAATAATAATATAATGGTAATCCCATCTGCGTTATTGATATACGCTGAGGGTGCACTAGAGTGGGATTTAAAATAAGGATTAAAGCAGGTTTTTTTTTAAATAGATAATAATGAAATTGTTACTCCGCATGCACTAACGGTATACGCTGGCTGGGCACCAATGAAGAATAATGATACGTGAGGTTGAAAAAGAATGTCAATTAACCCAACGTGTTAAATTCATTTGTAACTGAATACAATGGTTTCCAGGGAGCACCACAAAGAGGTTGACCTAATAAGATATATTACTAGCAATGAAGTTACTTATCCCTATTACTAACAATTCCTTCTCCCTCCTGTTGAAAGCATGTGATAAGTTTATCAAGACATGACTATAATGACTTCTAGTGGGGACCGATTAACCTCCACGGTGATCAAAAAGGGTATATTGCCAGAAATGGGTCCGATACTTTCTGTATATATTAAAAACCCCCTCTCCACTAACAGGACAATTACTACTTTACATCAGGTGGGTTGTCAATTTATTTGCCATTATATACTGCAAATATTTTTGATATCATATGCATCTAAGTAGATCTATTGTATTGTGAAGAAGTCACAATACAATGTGTTAATATTTATTTTTATCACGATATTATAAAAGGTGCCAAAGGGAATCAACCATCCATACATCAGTGCAAAATAAGGAAAACATTAAATAAAATCCGCTACCAAGACAGCTTGGTAATAGGCTAATATCCTTCTTTTATGAAAACAAATTTCCTATGTCTAGTAGTATAGGAAATTAATAGATTCTGGTAAAATAAATATCCTATTAAGCCCTAAGTTTAGAATTTTTGCAGAGTTTTGATTTTATAATACTGTTAATAAACGTGTAGTATTTTTAGTAGATTATAATAATTTTTTTTTTACAACACAGACGGCAACGGAGCATGCGGCTCACCTGATGGTAAGTGACTACCGCCACTGATGATCACCCAAAACTGGACGTCGCTAGATATATCAACGCCAAGAACCCTTAGACTCGACTTATTATCAAGGGAAATGCCCTGAAAGTGAGGAGATACGACAAACTGCGCCTTTTTTGCAGTTAACGCGCAGACTTGTGTCTTTTTAGGGTTGAATTGTACAAGATTGTTTTTACCCCAAATCGAAACTTATCGAGTGAAGTTTCTATTTCAGACACAAGTATGTTCTGGCACTCATCGGTATGTGCCCGCGAAATCTTTGCATAACCGGTATATAATGCATCTCCTGTACTGTCATTCCCATAGCAATGAATATTACTAATCTGTAACATATCATTGATATGCAGAAGAAACAGGGTCGGAGATAGTACAGAACTTTACGTTTCTTGAGAAAACTGGCGTCCAAACTGTACAATCTCGCAGGCAACCCAAACGAGGGTAGTTTCAAGAGCAGCGTTTTGTGCGATATCGGATCAAAGGCTTTCGCAATATCCAGACTAACAGTTAAGGCCTCTCCCTTATTCTTGAGTGCCACTGCCCATCGGTGTGTTAAATAAACCATAAGATCATCTCCCTTTTTAGGAATCGGATATACCAGGACAGTCGTCCAAAACTTTGGGACTATACCTGATGAGTAACAGAGCCGAAAAAGACGCGTAAGAACCGGAAGCCAACTCTGGCGTACACCTCCTAAGCACAATTGGAGGAATACCATTGGGTCCACTCGACTTATGGATTTCAAGGGAAAGAAGTGCTCTACGCACTGAGCTTTGCGTGAATTTAATATCAAGCATAGAGATCTTACAACGCGGGATTGACGCAAAGAGGGATCCAAGGAGTTCGGCCTTTTCTTTGACGCACAGAGCCAACGAGTTATCCTCGCTGCGCAATGATGGAAAAGATGACTAACAGAAATTCCCTTGTGCAGCTTTGGCAAGAGACCGGAAAGCTCGAGATCCCGAAGGTAAACTAGCTAACCTCTTGCTTATTCTACTAATATGCTCTGACTTCGCTGTGGCTATAACTTTTTTGGAAAACCTAGAGGCAGAATTGTATTTATTTTTAAGGACACTGGTATTTGGATCTCGCGACTCCAAATCTTTAGCCCAGGCTAGGAAGCACTCCTGTTTCAAACGAGATGCTGTTCTACAAGAGGCTCCATACCAAGGCTGGGATTTCTCACAGACGGGCACCACAGAATTAGGAATAAATAATTCCATTCATCCAACATAACGGAAAGGTTGTTATAGCTGAACATGAATACAGGTCTGTTGGTCCTTTATGGCGTCTTTACTAGGAATTAAGTTGATGATTTTCAGAGAAATCACAACGCGGTTCATTTGTTAGGTTGTATTACTAGCAATGGAGCGGCTGGTCTCCATTATTAACATTATGCGTCACATATTTTATTAACCAGGCATAATATTTCATGATATTGTGCTATTGTGCCTTGCTACTATGCTATTCAGGAATACAGATCCAACAAAATACAATAAGCATTGCTCCATCACAGTGTGTAAGTAATCTAATTTAAATCTTACTGGTGTAACAGATGCTAAATATAGACGGATGATATATACAGATTGACTATCATTTTATCCGTACCACATGGCATGTTCTAGTTTCTTCAAATGATCTAAAATGTAACCATAATTAATTATCATACTTTTAATTTTTGATGGCAATATTTTTAGAATCGATTACGTCATGATATTTTGACAACTTAACAAGGAATAGAATATTATTTTACTCGTTGCCTATTTACTTTTCTTATTTTGACCTACAAAGATTTTAATGAGTTATTATATACTAATAATATAATTTTGCTTAACTAAGTAACGAGTTAGTTTCATAATCAGTTGACTTGCAAAATATCCTATACGCATGTTTATTGCAAATACAGTTTAAAACAGGTTTAAACCTTTGTTCAATAGTCATATTAAATAGGCATATTTATCAGATGATTCCACAATACACGGACAGATAGATACTTTTTATTGTTTTCTCCAAATGTAGTAAGTAGGAAATTTATCATAAACATTAACAATACAATACACAAATATCACATAGTTTATGTAATAGTAAAACAATAAGTACTTATATTTTTTATTTATAAAAAGAAAGACAAATAGCAAAATGATCTGAAATCATTTTAAACTAAAATCCTTGTGCGGATAACGATAAAATATAACAATAATGGGTCAACATATATATAAATTATACTTTTACACAGTAACTTTAATACTTTCACTGATCATAATGCTTATAATAAACCCTATTATGTGATTACTTTGGTACATGTTTACAGCAATATGACGTTGCTTATTACAACTGTCTGTCACGTAATAATGACTTTTGCTTTATTCATGTAATACAGTTATATTTTAGATTATAGGTTGTCCCCGTAACATACAAGTTACAGTTAATAGTCGAAACTTATATAACGGCAGCTACTTGTATCTAATTATACATCAGTCAGAAAAAAACGATATAACATATCCGAAGTTTGAGTTATAAAACTACTTATGTTTCGTGTGAGGGATATTAATGCTGGTTTATTACATATTTTAATAGGCTCAGTAGTATTTGAAAAATATTTCTATTTTGAGTTTAATGAATGAAAAAAAGGTCGTATTCCAAATCCCATTTTCTATAGAACATTACTTTTAATAAGATACTTTAGAATAGCTTCGCCGTAAGAGCTGTTAAGCCCTTAAATATTTCTTTTCCTCTTTATTCGGTGGCTGTAATTTTTTAACGTGAAATAAGCTTACATATACATTTGTAATGGTAATAACAAAGGAGACATTGTTTACCTATAAAATAAAATAGGTTTTTTTAATTAGCTGATGTATAAAATACTTTTTAAACAGATATTTTGGACTACAGTCGATAAAAAAAATTAAAATAACCTATTATTTAAGATTTTTTTCCTCCGCCTGACTTCAAACCGAGTTTAATATTGGCGAGGTTTATATGGTTACATAATGAAAGCAAACTCCATCAATTGGAAAAATAATCATCAATAACGGCATAGAAGACGTACAGATGTGAATGTCAAATCCAGTGCCTCCTTTTTTGTAGTGATTTGTAAAGAAGGGGATAACGAGAATACTAAGACTACCTAATATAGATTTAAATTTTAAGTTACCTGATACAGGTTTAATAATAGCATGCCACTTACATTGTACTTAGTAATGTCGTTAACTTGAGTTATGTATTTACTTATCTACATACTTGAGAATTTCAGATTGCGGGGTGTGAAGTGTTTACAAGATGTGATAAAACATGCAACAGACGCGTTCTATGGAATTAAACGCACTTTATCTTTCGGGACAAATGTAATGGAAGAATTATACACGGGCGTTGACGGAATTAGCTTAAATAGGTCTTGCACAATTTGTATGTAGATGTAGGCTGCAAAATAAGAATAGGAACGAAGAGAAGACTAAGCTTTTTTAGTATCCCGTTTAATGAGTGCGTAATCTATTTATTTATTCACAAGATTTTCTGTCTCTAATATCACGAAAAACATTTTTGCAATTTTAAGAAATAAGTAAGTAGGTTAATGTTTATTGACCACAAATGCTACAACAAAGCCACAGAAAATAGCTAAATTAAAGAGAAAATTTCTCTATTCATTTATACTAATAACAGCAACTGTAGTCACAATAAATAATACCTATTTACTTATTATTTAAAACAGAAATAATACTACAAATATCAATGGTTTCAATAATGATAAAATTAGTATGGAATCAACACAAAACCCTCTCGTTTGCTAAAAAAAATTATAAAAATCGATCCTGATTTAGCGAAGATATTAAAAATCAAGTCGCTATATGTATGTAGTTTAGAGGTTATAAAGAATTTAGGAGAATCATTAAATACGAAAAGTATATTCCAATAATTATTGCGTGACTGAAACCATTTCGAAACAAGTAGGATTTAATTTTATGTTTTGTTATTATTCAAAGAATTTACTCGTATTTAGGACCATGCAAAATAGCAACAACTTATAACAATTTTGATCGTAAACAACTTTATTTATATATTAACTGCATAATTAATTCATTCTTAATAAATGCTGCGAGTAATGTTACCTATATTATATTTTTATAAGCTTGTATTGTTTTCACGAGGTTTTAATTAATTGTATATATGACTAGTGTTACGGCCCGGTGTCGCATGGGTACATAGTTTTTGAAAATACATAAAATATATAGCCTATATTACTTGCTGGTAATGTATATTTCTATAAGTGATAGAATTTACAAATCGGTAGAGTAATTTTTGGGTTTATCCATTACTATCAAACAATCAAATCTTTCGTCTATATAATATTAATATGGATATTGTTAAATATATCCTGTTCGGTTTCGCCATATTTAAAATTCGAACAAGTGCTTACTCTTTCCAGTATCAACAAAATCTACTCGTATATTATAATCTACTCTTTTTTTAATTTGGCACATCCACAAGACAGATGCTGGCAACCGTTTTCGGATACGTCCAAGTTTGTAACTTTTCGCATTTCCTCGGTGGCGTGTCTGGTGGCAATCTCGCCACTGTCGCATGTTGTGAATTTGTTATCCTCTATACAGGATTAGCAGGTTGCATTGTGTTCAACTTGTCCTTAGGTAACCGCAAGATAAATTATGCTATTCCGCTTGTAGTATAAACAGGAGTATGTTGGTATTGTTGGTATCAAGGCATATTAAATAGTCAGGGAACATTTACCATGGTAATGTTATAATTACCGCAAACATTATTTACGTTAGAAGCTATTTATTTTGCATAATGTGTACTGGTGAATGCAACAATGCTTAGCCGAGGCAGTCATATATCTCTGCTACATTAATAGCAAAGATATGACTATATCGCACATTGAATTTGAATTGCGAGACATGATTATGCATGGATTATGAATCAACACTACAATTTTTACTTCTTTTGTTTAAATTATAAACAGTTAAATGATATATGATATTATAGACAATACCTATTTTCATTCTTTCTAAATGGGTCTTGTATGTATAGCTAGTCTAGTAAGAAAGAAAAAAAGTCTACATTTTAACTATTAAAATATAGTGTTGTGATAGACGAACTTGTGAAATTGTATTATAATGGTTCCTTGTTGTCTTTTGGTTTAGAACCCTAAAATAGATTTCTATTTTTACATATATCTATACAACGGAATGCTTCAAGATTAATAATATTTTTTGGTTCATGTCGATAATTATATATTGTATTTAATTCAGACATTTAATAAAATCAAATATATAAATGAAGTGCGGTCCGATAGAACATCCAATGTTGTTTGGAACTTCGTTGATGTGTTTTCGATATCATCGATATGGCTCATTATAGTCATTCTCAAAAGGGCTCATGTCCTATAGCTTTAGGCGACCGGAACGATGAGGTCGCGTCAAGTCGTTTGCGGAGTGAAGTGCTTTGCCAACGAAACTGGGCCATTCAAGCGTTCACAGAGATAAGAATATCAGTTTTGGGTAGGTGAATCTTTTCTATTTATATCGATAAGAGTGTAAGACCTTTTATTTGGCTCGTATTATTATAAAGATGACATAATATAATATAATATTATAAAGAGACATGTAGTTGTTAATATTTTATTTTTAATATCTACCTAACTTAGAATGAGAAACGAAAAGAAGAATGAGAAAGTGGTAACCGTCACCTATAAACATGGATTATATGATTATCATGGACATAATAGAGTATACTATATGCCATGATATCCTTCATGCGTTGTCGTTCCTGAGAATTAAAGTGTTATATCTCTGTACTCTGTAATTTCATTTAATGTATATATCCCACTCTTTAAATCGAAACATAGTCATGAAAACATAGCTGTTTCACGACAAAGGCAAAAACACGAATGGGACTTCTGTCGGCCCATTCGTATTTCAGTACTTCTGTACCCGAACTGATGAATTTTGTACAAAGTCTCCCTTTAGTAATATGAATATGGGTGTTATAAAGTGAAATATTTTCATACAATCGATAAATAGAGAACCTCTACGGCATAGTAGCTGTTTAATGGTACACTTATTGGTAAATAATAAAAGGCACATCATGTGCAAATGGCATCTACTCTCAGGCGTGTCTTTGTGCATAGTAAGCAGTTCTGCTCGCATCCTGGAGTGAGCATGCCCTACCCCCTCCCCAGCCTTTACACATACATACAGCTATGGGCACAGTTACCAATAATAATAAAATTTAACATGTTGGGAGGCGGGCGTGACAGATATTTATTATAATATTTACCCAATGCGTTTGCATGTGTTTTTATTGGTATAAATGTTTCTACAATTCAACGCCGATAGTACATGATTCATATGTGTAGGTATGTAAATTTCTAAACATACCACTTTTACTATTACATAGAGCATCACTTATTCATGTCGTATATTTCAATTTAGTCAAACTTAAGGTGATTGAGTGGTTCCAACTGCAGAGATGAACGTTGATTTGCGTCTTGCAAGATTAATGCTACTGACCTATAACGACCTGCCTTACTTTCTCTTATTTTGCGACGCTGGCGCAGACCTTGTACCA